TAATACAACATTGTTTACTACTTTAAAAGGAAAAGAAGGTACAGATGAGTAAGAGGGTTTTTATATGGCCACGCCTGTTTTTGAGGAGAAATATGGTGTATGTATACAAATGTTACTTCTTACAACATATATAAGTAAACACTGTGTGATATTAAATGGCATATGAAGGTTTTATTTCACACTTAAATACACTATTATGAATGGATTCCATAATCAATTTAATATGCATTCACTATTTTCACACGAGTGTTAATGTTAAACTAATAATGTAACATCTCACGCAGGAACCCGATGGAGCAGAAACCGTTCATCATAAAACGTTCACAATTCCCCAACCACCCACATTATCGCCCCGACTCCTAATCATCCATCACCACCACAACCATCGACATCTGCCACCACCTTCCCATTGTAATGAAGCGTCCATTTCCATGAAAACATCAGACCCGCCCATTGAAAAAAAACAACATCAACATCACATGCCCAAACGACAGCCTCTTCCAGCCGACCCAAGAGAAAGGCCACTAAGAAATTCTATAAACATTCTAAATCATCTAAAGTTGACAGTGTAACAATTCGCAGCTTTTGTCAGACGCAATATACGCCACACGATCCCAGAATTAATGAATGGGTTCGGGTGTGAGCACAGGTGTTTGCCCCAATGTTCATTTTGGTGCCACATTGGATGCATGGGAGTTCACATAAAATCAACAAAAGACCTCAAACCATTAACAATTCCTGTCCTGCCCATAGCACATCATTAAAGTAATAACATGAATCACGTGGTTGTTGTTTGTTTAATTAATGTACTGTTTATTGTGCAAGAATGAGGGACCGCCACCTTATACTTGTATTGGTTAATATGAATTATATAAGTTTCAATGTGTTTTATTGATATTTCCAGCCGTAACTATATACACGTGTGGACATGTATTCTATATAAATCATGTTCTTATAATAAAAAATGTGAAGCATCATATGATATTCATATTACATAATATGTACATGTTCTTAATCCATGGTATTGCAGTAAAGTGTGTTAAGAAACACATCTTATACTCCTGAGAGTGACATTGTACCAGACTATTGGTTGCCTACTCCGACATCCGCGCCTCAAATATTTAAGTCGGTCGAATTTTACAGAGGTCAGTCAGTGTTAATTTGGCCGGATGGAAGGGGCTATCGCAACACGTGCGTTGAAATATTGCTTGTACAAAATAAGTCCTATGAACTATCAGTTGCTTTCACAGTCAGTGTTAATTAACACCCTGACAATTATTTCATATGTTAGTAAAAATAATATATACTATTAAAAAAAAGTAGGGCATATTTCATTTTGCGATCATACTTGTAACAAATGCAAATGAATACGAGACAAAGTAAGATAGATCCTTACAGAGGAAACATTTCCAGTGAAATTCGGCCCCCAAACACAACAATGGCAACCCCAGGATCTGCACGTGATGCTAGCGATGATAATGGGGGTTGAACACCAGATTTGAAATACAACACAGCAAGAACAAAATGATGCAGACGCTGTAGCAGCTGAATGATCGGACCATAAGAAAATGTCAACGGGACCTGAACAACATCTGTTACGATGACGTCAGAAGATCAAAATGGAGTAGGGGGTCATATGACAAGGTCACAAAGTCAATAACGGGTATGACCACCCTGTGCGTGAATCACAGCAGTGCATCGGCGACGCATGGAGTCCACCAAATGGGCATGGAAGGCCGTTGGGAATGGCCTGCCATATCCTCCTCAAATCCTGTGCCAAGTCACGGACGTTATCTGGAGGATGTGGAAGACGACGCAGACGGCGCTCCATTTCATCCCACACATGCTCTATTGGGGAGAGATCTGGAGAAATTGCAGGCCATGGCAGTAACATGACATTGTTATGGTGAAGGAAATCCATTGCGACCCTAGCCGTGTGAGGACGAGCGTTGTCCTGTTGAAATGTCAATCCCGGGCCATGACGTTGCAGGAAAGGAATGACCACAGGCCTCATAATCTGATCTCTGTAGCCAACACCGGTGAGATTGCCCTGAACAACCACAAAAGGGGTTCGGTGCCGTGCTGTTATCCCACCCCAAATCATCACAGAGCCACCTCCAAAACGATTCCTCTCCACAATACAGTTGCGTGCATAACCCATTCTCCCAAACGCCGGTAGACACGTTGGCGCCCGTCACTGTGGGAAATGTTGAACCTCGATTCATCTGTAAAGACAACATTTCTCCACCATATTCGAGGTTGGCGAACATGATTTCGACACCATCTTAGACGGTTGACTCGATGACGGTGTGTCAGGATAGGACGTATGGCAGGGCGTCGTGGTCGAATCCCGTACTGACGTAAACAATTCCTGACAGTTTTGGGATTGATACGGCGCAGTCCAGGAATTGTCTGGGACGTCGTTACTGCCGTTTGGAACCTGTGTCGGAGATGTGTAACTCGAATCCATCTGTCCTGTCTTGGCGTCGTTACTCGGGGACGTCCTGAACGTGGGTGGACGGCAACGTCATTTGTGTTCTGATAACGCCTCACCAATGCCGATATCGTGTTACGATGGCATTGGAAATGTGTTGCCACCTGTTGTTGCCTCATCCCCGCTCGGATCATTCTAATGGCTTCATGACGCTGTGCAGCTGTCAATCTTGGCATGATTTGCTTGTGATATGCTTGTGTCTGCGCCTGAGAAGTTTTGAATTTTTGAATGACCACAGATCATGCTTTCCAAAGTGACAGCGAATTTTGAGTTGCACATGCTGTGTACAGCTGCACAGGATGCACGTGCAGTAACACATTGCACGTCCATAGGCCCCCATCAATGACGTCATATCGCATGGCACGTGCATGAACGTTTGAATGTCTCCAATAATTGCTGTGTTCAAACCTATATTTCATATATGGACGGTGTGCCCTTATATCTTCTCCGTGCACAGTTTCTTAATGTGGCTAGTATATATATATGCTTTATTCATTTTCTATCTGTGAAGGTTCCGACAACTACGGAGCCATCCGTTTTCTGTTGGTAGGCCTGGTGGAATCCACACTTTAATTGCAGGTCCTGTGCTGCCATTTCTGACAAAAGTCACACTAAAGACACTGTTGTCTCCAACGGCAAGGCTCAGAGCAGTATACGCAGTTATCTGACATTTTCAGAGATTGAATGATTTGCAGGTGTTGTCTATCGTTTTTATATTGCTTTAGGAACATTTCTAGATTGAGTGAACGATCTCATGGCGTTGTTTTGATACAATCGGTGTCACTCTCGGTGACATCACATCACTGATTGATTAGTTTGGGCGATAAAAAATAAATACCAATCTAGTTTAGTTACAGATCCCATTAACTCGCGTCCAGGATCTACTTGAAATAACTTATAAATAGGCCATTTTAAAGGTCCGCGTTTATATATGCTGTCATAGGCATTAGCTATACTTCAGTTGAATCTTTTAGGTTAATTGTTCAGCCTCTTTGTACGGACTAGCTACATCCACTACAGTTGAAACATATTAATATGTTTTGTGTCTTACCTTATCATGCAGAAGAAACAAGAGGTCAGCCTGAATAGATGAACTTCATTAGTTATAAAACATTTCCCCGGTATATATTGCGGGGAACGCAAGCATATTTTCCATACTGCTAGTTTCTTTAACCAATCCTCAGCAACGTCTTTAGATACCTGAGCTGCTGTAGGTAATTTTTGTATTGCCCCTTTAACTTTCCAATATCCTCGAGGGCAAAAGTTATTTTATCCATTACTAAATAATAGTAATGATCCTCCAATGCAACTATTGAGATAAATGTTCTTGGGTTTTGGGGGGCCTAGGTCGATACAGAACATCACCAAGAAATCTCAGAAATCCCCACATCACCAGTCTTCACCCTCTGTGATCAGCCTCCCCTACTTTGGAACAGTTAGCCACAAAATCCAGAGACTTAAAGAAACAGGCCAACATTGATGTAGTTTTCAAGAGAAGTCACCATTCAGAACACAATTAAAGCAATGGGGAAACCACCATCCAACCAGAAGCTAGAACCATCAGGATCAGTGTACCACATTCCGTGCAATTGTGCTTACATTGGAGAAACATCTAGGCCCCCAAAAACCAAAGACCCCAAACAGCCATAATCCCGTTGTTCATATTACTGGCTTCATCCCTCGTTTATGTCACTGACTTCATCCATGATTGTTATCACTACCCTTGTGTATACATAACAGGTTTCTCTACTTCTCTTGTGAACCACACTCTGTATATCACTTGCTTGATAACGGTCTTAGAACCTACACCGAAATGTCGCCCTTAATTGTAATAAAGAAGTTTTTCTTCCATGAATTCTTATCCTTACTTCGTACTCCAACTTCTAAATGCCTATCAAAGAAGGATTTAGTATTGTTTGACTTTGTTTGTGTGATGTTTCCGAGCCCACGTGGTTTTCAACCAGGCGACCATTTCTCATGCACAGCCCATGTGGAATGAATGAAATGGCAAGAACCAGGTAGGGTTCACAGAATACGCCAGGTATATAAATTGTGGCATTGTAATAATTTTGATACATACATATGCACCGTTGTTTTGAGTGCGCTTGTGTTGAGATATTACCACTGGTGAGAGATATTACCTAGCTCTTTCCTTTGAATCTGAATACCTTGTTCCACTCGGTGTTGCATTACTGGTTTGAATTGTGTAAATTCGTGGGGTCGTGTTCGCCGTGATGAGCGGCCATTTTTCCACGTGATCGGCGTTAGTTGACGAATTGTATATGTGGGACATTCTATGTTAACAAACTCATGTGTGCACAGATTCTCGTTACAAAAGCATAGAAATCGGAATGAATGTGGTGACGTCACTTACCTCTAAATGGAGACAACAGATGGTGAATGTTTCCAAGTACAATAAAAATATAGGACGAATAAATGAGTTCGCTCGCGCGTTGAATAACAGAAGTATTATATGGTACTGTGACAATCCAGTGCTTCACTCTCTGTCAGACTCAGCTGGAGCAGTAACCATTGCAGCTTGTGCAACAATACACCCAGCACTTTCAGATGGACAATAATGACTGTAAGTAATATTTGTTTGGTATTCACAGGTGACATCGCATCAGTAAAATGACGCAAACTCGGATCATTTATCTACAGAAGTTCCTTCTATCTACCAAGTAAAACATATATAGTCAACGTGTGCCCTTGGACAATCTCCGCGTTTCCTCGCAATATTGTCTTAGCGCGCCATGTGGATCAGACACTCCTTTAAGCTTATGAGTGTTACTTGTACGGACGAGCGCGCTGCGGAAAGTGTTGTCTTTGTATTCGTGTTGTGTCTTCATAAATAGTTCTGAATGAAATAAAGGTACATAAAGGACTAAAGTACTCATGGAAATGAAAAAAACAACTGTTTTGTTGGATTTAATAATCGACACAAAGCATTAAGAAGATGTAAATACGAAATAACAAATCAACTGGAAAAGTACTACTCAGGATTGGCTAGTTTTATCTCAGTGCTCAATACAAAATGTACTTTACAGGAGGTAATTTGTAAGCACTTTCAACATTCAAAAATAAAACTAAGTCCAAATCGACATGGCAGAAACAGGCTATAGGCATTATGCAAATTAGCCTGGAAAAAAGTTATCAAAACAACAATAAAAATAACAGCTATGTTTATGTACATAATAATAATGACATGTAAGTTGTTGTTTGAGAAGGGACCACTGACAAATCACATGCACGTGGGTTTCAAGCACCTGTTTTCACCTGTCGTCAAGGTGTCATAGGTCATAGACATTCACCTTGATCTACTGCTGTCACCTGGTTATGCTCAGTTTAACAATAGTCTGTTTTGTTAATATTTTTACACACTTTTACGTGTAAAAAGACATAAAAACCTTTGATACGCTGTATTTGTGCCAAGGCCCAATTAGTACTAATCGAGTTGTTTGAATATTTATATATTTTGTATGTTAACTGGATTTATTTAAAGTCTGAGATCGAAAAAACAGTTTTTTTCATTTCCGTGAGTACTTTAGCGATTTGAGAGATATTTGTCCACACTTTTGGCGCCATCTCGCTACGAGAAGGACGGTACAAGCTGTCTAAACAGCTGGTGTCCTTGTATATTATTCCAGTGATTCGTCTCTTCAATATCGTTTTGGGCAGACATGCGAGCGTGGATATGTCTGTTTATTATATTCGTTCAAATGTGAACAGCATATAGCAGAATAATCTGTAAAATATGAACATGGTCGAGGCAATCATATATGTGGAAGTATTGTCGATCATATTGATTGTGAGTAGGTGTGGGGTTACACATAATTCAATCTAGCAGTCACTTGATTGGCATGTGTACCGTCATTAATATGTATTGTACATGTTTCCGTTACGCCAAGATAAGACAAAAAATTATCAAACTAGAGTACATAAGTTCTGGATGATGCTTGTCAATCTTACTTCCCTTATTGCTGTAAAAAAGAAGAAGAAAAAAACCACACCACCATGTACATAAATTCATTGAAAAATCTTTTTCGTCAATCATATTCAAACATCACTGTTCTGGCCCGAATAGATTTCTATGAACTGCACTTTGGCTCGTGTGTGCAAACTCAATATACTACTCAAAGTTTATAATAACAATGGCACCACAGTAACACCTAACGCTGAGTATATCATACGTAGCTATGTTTGAGCATTCTGTGTAATGGAAAAAAAATAGACACGACCTTTTTTCTATTTGATTAGTTCAGTATGTTTAGTGTAGTATGTGGGAAATATGAAGTTGTTTATCTGTCATTTGTAAAGCTAGTTATGAGATAAGATATCATGATCTGGGGTTTTATATTGTAGACAATACTAGTCATGGGAAAATCAAATCGATATTTGATATCAAATTGCAAGGAATAGTCTGTTATTGTCATGACTCAATTAGCGAGGATATAAATTCATTCATTTATTCGTTTCTCGGCATATCTGACCAAAAGTGCATACAATGTCCTTTTAATAGTTCAAAAACAAATGTATGGAAATTTAACGATTAACTATGCAGATGAAGTCAGCTGTGTCATGTGGGTTTCACCAGCATGCCCCGAAGGTTATTGTTTCAGTTTTTAACATCTGTGGATACACCAAATCCCACTGTAACATCTAAACAGTATTTGGAAGCCAGGTAATACAATAACAGTCATCAGTAGAAGCATCCAACCTGGTTTCTCTCAAACACATTACATCATATTCTGACCAATGAGCTGCTATACTATCTGTTTTCTCCTGAAGTGAGTGAGTGAGTTGGGTTTAACGCCGCTTTTAACAGTATTCCAGTTATATCGCGGCGTGTCACCTTAATGTGGGAGGAAAGCCCGAAGTGATGCAGGTCTAAGACGTTTACCACTTCGGTGTAACCCACGAGCACGGGTATGTTGCTGACAAACCTAGAAACATAATCGGGGCGAACCAGGATTCGAACCCACAATCATAGCTTTCTGACGTGCCCATTTCTTCTGAAGACGTCACGTTATTATGGATTTCCTTTATCTCTGTTTTTTGTCATTGATCCAGGATTTGACTCTATATCCCCACAACAACGTAATACAATTATCAAGCATGAAACAAAATGGAATTGTTTAATATTACTTAAATATACAGAAATGAAGCATTTGATGCATATTATGCAACCAAAGATACCAACTGCAAGCCGATATTGTCTGCTTAACGACGCACTCAGCAATATTCCAGCTACATGAAGGCCGTCCTTAAATAATCGAGTCTTGGCCAGGTAATCCAGTGATTGACATCATGAGCATTGATCCACGCAATTGGAATACGATGACATGCATCAACCAAGTCAGCGAGCCTGACCACCCGATCCCGTTAGTCGCCTCTTACGACAAGCATAATCGCCTTTTTACGGCAAGCAAAGGTTGCTGAAGACCTAGTCTACCCCTGATCCTAACGGGTAGCAAGCCGATATTGAGCCACGTGAACCACCAATATCAGTTCGGTATGAATCAATCGTACATGTCAGCTTGCAAATAGTATCAATGAGAATCCCTCTGTAAAGATTATAATAGGGATGACTGTAGTTGGTCTCTGGTAACACACATATAAAATGAAGGTGGGTACTTAGGCAAAGACGATAAAATGAAAGCATTCTGACTATAGCTAACTTGAGAAAGAGAAAAAAGACAATCTAAAAATGAAACGCCCTGTCAGTGGAGTAAAGAGAAATTTAATTTAATTTGCTGGTAATTTAACTTGTAAGATAAAATGCAGCATTAATTGCAGCATTATTAACCCCCGCCCAACGAAGTTGGCGGGGGATATAGAAACGGATTCCTTCCGTCCGTACGTACGTCCGTCACGTTTCGTTTCCGGAGCATAACTCAGAAACCGTTCAATAGTTTTTCATGAAACTGTGCAGGTCTATCAGGTACATGCTGAACTGGTGCCTTTTGCTATTTAGAAATTTTAGAATTGTTTATTTTTTACGTTTCCATGGCAACAAGATGGACTTAGGTTCTGTGAGGGTAGGGTTCGTTTCCGGAGCATAACTCATAAACCGTTCAATATCTTTTCATGAAACTGTGCAGGTCTGTCAGGTACATGCTGAACTGGTGCCTTTTGCTATTTAGAAATTTTAGAATTTTTTATTTTTTACGCTTCCATGGCAACAAGATGGACTTAGGTTCTGTGAGGGTAGGATTCGTTTCCGGAGCATAACTCATAAAACGTTCAATATTTTTTCATGAAACTGTGCAGGTCTGTCAGGTACATGCTGAACTGGTGCCTTTTGCTATTTAGTTAGTGGCAAAATCTTTTTTTTTTACAAATTCCATGACAAGTTCCACCTCGGTTAAAAAAGGTTAGGGTTTAATTATGTCATAAATTCTGCAACAGGGGCGGGGGATATAGCTACGTTAGTGGCAAACTCTTGTTGGCCTTTATTTACTGCATGTACATTCAGCAGTTTAGGAAATTTGCCAATCTACATGAGACGGCACGTGCAGTAACAGGATTGCACGTGCAGCACGAATTTTATTTGCGGGGTTGAGAGCCACACAGGGTAAGAACACACATTGCTGAAATGCCTGAAGAAAGGATAATAATGTAATTTGTTGATATATATGATCATGACAAACATAGCAGTCCTTCGGTTGAAACGTAGTGGGTAATGTACTGGTGTTATGTAGTAATACTGAGATATAGATGTAGTTCATGTTTGATTGTTATTGTCAACATTTCTTGGTAATTACCATGACGGAAAATTGTTTATACATAAATAGACCGCCTCCGTGGTCTAGTGGTAGAGTGTCCGTCCGGAGAGCGGAAGGTCCGGGGTTCGATCCCCGGCCGCGTCATACCAAAAGACGTTAAAAGATGGTACTCGTTGTTAAACTGTCTGGCGCTTGGCATTAAGGGGCTAAAACAAGGACTGGTCGGTTTGGAGTCAGTATACTGTGTCTGACTGGGGTATTCATGTTAAATTGTGGCATGGTATCTCAGTGGGCTAGCACTATAAATCGGCATCAGTCCGGACTAGTACACAAACACACACACGTACATGCACGTAAGTGCAATAATCTTGGACGCGACGTTAAACTCCATTTCACCTCACCTATTCATAAATATGTACATCTAAAGCAACCCATTAAGTGACTGTATAAAATACAACATTTTGAATACAGTATCCATGTGGGCATTGAATCTATAATATAAAAAAACGTCAACGCCAGAGAATAACATTCTCGATTATCCACATTCGAAAAGCGAAATAGCGCTGAAAATTATGTGAATGGATCACTGAAAAACAGGGATGCCACTGGGTATTCGCGAAAAAGGTAAGCAAGTCCTGCTCTACAGGTAGCACCCGCCACTCATACAAATTGCATAAAACGTACATGTATGTGTTGATACAGCACAGCAGTACTCATGCCTTGCGACGGCGGCATATAAAACAACTCAGAAAATTAAGGGATGGGCAAGACATCTAGCCACACGATATCGCATTTACTGTTTTTTGTTGAAAGTTGAACGGATATGTGTACAAGTGCAGAGATTCTGCTGCTTATGAGCAGAGACAAAATGTTAAAGAATTTTAAAAACAGAATGGTGCCGCAAATTATGCAACATAATTGTTAGTTTCAAATCGAGGCATACTAGTATATATCCTCAGCTATATTCTACACAAATAACCAGGGTAATTCTGTCATTCGTTCATTGGATTAAAAACAGTATCAGATGAAAAAAATATCGTAAGCTTTAAAATAATCGGCTCCTGATTAGGTTTGATGAGTTTTATGAATATATTTAGAACAGCCTTGTTCTGTACATTTCACATGTGCAGATACCAATAATGATCAAATTGAGGAGAACATGCACAAAGTTACCACTTTGGCAATATGTGCGCACATGTTTCAAAGTGGAACAGACCCGTGATGGACACCCAGGAGGACTGCGAAATCTCATATGCATCGCTTTGCACACAATGACATGATAATGAATTCATTCACAATACAGCAGGTGTTGCATTTGCGAAATATGATACTGTCTTCCTTTAATATCAAGGGGGCACGGGTGGCCCAGTCGTCTAAGGCGCCGCGATTCGCAGTGCAGAAACCTATGATTGTGGGTTCGAATCCCGGTTCGCCCCGATTATGTTTCTAGGTTTGTCAGCACCATACCCGTGCTCGTGGGTTACACCGAAGTGGTAAACGTCTGAGACCTGCATCACTTCGGGCTTTCCTCCCACATTAAGCTGACCCGCCGCGATATAACTGGAATACTGTTAAAAGCGGCGTTAAACCCAACTCACTCACTCACTCAATCCTTTAATATCACCAGTGTTGTATGTTAAGGTGTTCGGAAGTCCATGACAGATTTCTGGAAGCAATGCTCTACACCATGTGCGTCCGTCGTTGAGATGATGTTGGACATTGGTGCCGAGGAGCTTGCTGAGTTGGAACAGCCAGAGATACTGTCCTATCTACCGGACTTCGCTGGCAAGAGGGTGATGGACCTTGGAGCGGGCATTGGGTAAGTATATACGTGAGTATATGTTTCCACAAATACTATCGTTTCATATCTGATTTTCATAAGTACCTTTTCAACGAATGTATGAGTAATCCTTCAGACCACTGTTAGCTATCTTCCAGCAATGTCAGGACGGAAGACAACACAGATTGTACCAATGTGGATAATTGAACCCTGTCTTTTGTCTTGATGATCAAACGCTTCAATCACTTGACAACTACACACACCCAATTACCTTTGTAACAAGAACATACTGCTAAAAGGAATTAAGGATAATCACAGCCTGATAAATGAGCACGCGGATATGAATAAACTGTCCAACAGCATATGTAGAAGGTTTTCTGAAGTTAGAGTTTGAGAATTATGTGACGATATCTGTGCGACAAACCAATCTATGATTAATATCTGACCATTCGAAGACAACTTATTTATCCTTTGCAATCCATTCACTGATGTGAACAGACACAGTGCATGTATCCGCGAGTGGACGTCGTCATTCACGAACACGTTGGCCAATACCCCACGTACACCGTGTCACACTCAGCATTTCTCTGTTTAATGGCATTGAATTCTGTTTTACTCGGTGTCAGAACGCGGTGTTCACATGCTCTTCCTAAAGTTTCTTCAGCAGACTTATATGAAGGAGTCTCATGCCATATCATATTTGCAGCGAAGCTTATTACCTATTTACCTTGACATGTGAATTGAAATTCAGTTGAACAAAAAATTAATGTAATTCTATTTTTTCATTATAAAAATTAAATTGACATTTCATTAGGGGTCGGATGATTATGCTTGGTACAGACACCGATTTTGATAAATCCTCATTCATACTTTTACTGTTTTACTGAAGTTTGTTCTTATATTCACAGGCGCTTTACATCTACCTTTGCCATGTCAGCCTGCAGCGTGTTGGCCATTGATTTCATGCATGAGTTTCTCGAAAAAAATAAAACTATCAACAGTCACTACAAAAACATCGAATTCCAATGTGGTGACGTCACTAAACTTCAAAGAGACAACAGATGGTGATTTTTCCGTTTGAAAGTAAAATACATATGTTGGGGGAATAAAGGTATTTGCGTGCATGCTGAATAACAGAATCCCATCGAATTTCGGAAGTACCCTGAGTATCGCTACATAGTGTTTGGCACTGTGACGAACATCAAAGATGACACCATAAAAATCAGTGTCAGATACATATTTTCTATTAAACATGCCATTATCGTTCTAATATCTTGCCATGTGTTCCCTCATCCTCATCTGTGCACATACCCAATCACATTGTGAAATACATGTGAAAGTCCGATTAGAAAACATGTGATGAATTTTTGCATGACATTGTCCATTCAAATGTGGCGTACATGATTTCGAACATCTGCCAACAGTTTGTAAATACACAGATAAGAAAAAGCTCGTCCTGTATTTATCGATGTATACTATGCCCCAAAAGTAGGGATGGTGGAAATCATCAAGACATATCTTCTCAACTATATGATATTGGTAAATGATATCATATCTCCTGGGGAGTAGGCGATCAGATTTAATGGGTTCTCATGGTTGGTGTAATTAGATGAGGGACAATGGTAAATCTGGCATACCACCCCTTGAACGTGCTGTCGGAGGTCATGCCCTTTATGACTGTCCCAATGTTGTGATTGGGACCTTGATTTCTTCGGAAATGTTCTTGCCTTATAAATCGCTTCCTATCCCCTACGCGTTTGTTTGTTTTTCATACTATAATATGCTGACATTGCAGTGCCAATCTTGTGTTCTCCAACTGGCTGTTAATGTATCTGTCGGACAAAGAGGTGCTGGAGCTGTTGCAGAAGGTGCTGGAGTGGCTAGATGACGATGGCTATCTGTTCATAAGAGAGTCCTGCCTGGTTCCATCCGGTTTGTGTGCTGTTCAACGCTGTAGTCAGGAACATTCCAACTATACCCTCAAATCATGTTCTTAACCGAGTCTTGACCACGGTTGGCATAGTACTATGCCTTCAGGATACGATGACACGTGCACGAAGTCGCCCTTTAGTTTCAAAATACATTATATTTAATAGACAAAACACAATGGGATTTTATGAAGGTGCTCCACTAACGAGATCTTCTCCTCAGGGGGCGCTCGGATAGCCTACTGGTTAAAGCGTTAGCTCGTCACGCCGAAGACCCGGGTTCGATTCCCGACATGGGTACAATGTGTGAAGCCCATTTCTGGTGTCCCCCGCTGTGATATTGCTGGAATATTGCTAAAAGCGGCGTAAAACCATACTCACTCACTCACGCTTCTCCTCAAATATATCAAACATTGGTGTCAATAAAATCTATACATGTTTCACTTTCTAACATCAGTATCAAGTAAGTTCAAGTATGGAACAAATGAATAGCTACTGCAGTGATAAATAACCAATTGTGATCAACCGATCCAGTAAATAATATCTTACGGCAAACATAGGTTGGCAGGAATCTGTCCTAACCCTGAACGCCTTAGTGGTTGCCCTGAGATGCATGGTAGTGTATGACAAAACACGTGTAGGTTATTCTAAATATAACAAATGTTATATTTGGGGCAACACTTTCATAGTAAAGTACAGATACTTGTACTTTTTTGGGTTGCGTCGGAACCCACACTGCCAGAGTGAGGCACCTAATCGCCAGCACACAGTCAGCGATCTAACCCACTCTGGTACTAGAATCTGTACTTTAGGAAGAAAACATAACATTTGTTACATTTGACCACTTTCTAAAATGGCATTGTGTGTTCGTTTTCTAAATAATTTAATCATGTATGTTTGCTTTGAATACGCAATATACATGTGTATATCCGTGACATCTGACGTGCACATGGCGATACATGACGAACAATCAAAGAGCACATCTTCAGAGATTAGATTTGGGATAAATCAATCAGACTAACTTTCTACCATGGTCTGGTTGTGTACAACACACCTTCATACTAAGATCTCTGAGTGCGGCGTTAAAAACAACAACAAACAAACAAACAATATCGGCTTGCAGTTGGTACCTTTGGTTGCATGATCTACCACAAATGCTTCATTTCTGTATATTTAAGTAATATTAAACAATTATATTTTGTTTCTTGCTTGATAATTGAATTACTTTGTTATGGGGAAATGGAGTTAAATCCTGGATCAACGACAAAAACCAGAGATAAAGGTTATCCATAATAACGTGAAGTTTTCAGGAGATAGTATAGCAGCTGATTGATCAGACTATGATGTAATGTGTTTGAGAGAAACCAGGTTGGATGCGTCTACTGATGACTGGTATTGTATTACCTGGCTTCCAAATACTGTTTAGATGTTACAGTGGGATTTGGTTTATCTACAGATGTAACAAACTGAAACAATAACCTTCGGGGCATGCTGGTGAAACCCACATGACACAACTGACTTCATCTGCATAGTTAATCGTTAAATTTCAATAAATCTGTTTGGGAACTATTGAAGAGGACATTGTATGCACTGTTAATGAGATATGCAGAGAAACGAATAAATGAATGAATTTATATCATCGCCAATTGAGTCATAACAATAACAGACTATTCCTGGCAATTTGATATCAAATATCGATTATATTGTCTACAATATAAAACGCCAGATCATGATATCTTATGACCGCCGTCATATAGCTGGAATATTACTGAGTGCGGCGTTAAACAACAAACAAACAAACAAACAAAACAATCATACTAAGATCGATGTTCAGCTATCGGCAACCCGTTTCTGTGCGGACCCAATAAGGCATGTATGGGTATTGCTAAGATATAGATTTCTTCTTGCTTAAGGGGGCAAAGGTGGCCCAGTCGTCTAAGGCGCCGCGATTCGCTGTGCAGAGTTGCGTCCCTTGAGCACGCCAGAAACCTATGATTGTGGGTTTGAATCCCGGTTCGCCCCGATTATGTTTCTAGGTTTGTCAGCACCATACCCGTGCTCGTGGGTTTCACCGAAGTGGTAAACGTCTTAGACCTGCATCACTCCTCCCTCCCACGTTAAGCTGACACGCCGTGATATAACTGGAATAATGTTAAAAGCGGCGTTAAACCAAACTCACTCACTCACTCTTCTTGCTTACTGAAACAACATATCTTTAATTGCAGGCAACTATCGACGAATGTTCAACCCAACTAACTACCGAAATGCGATGACATACGAAGCTTTATTCGCTTCTTCCGATATATCATGCGATATAGGCCAGTCATATGGATTTCAATGTGTGATGTCTACTTCACTTGGCGCATATACTAAGGTTAATATACATCCTCACAGTAGGGATACAGAGGTTTTCACTGCTGTACTAATGTACGTAAGGGAAACAGGTGGCGCAGTAATCCAATTCGCTGTGTTGAGTTGCGTCCCTTGGTTATGACAGAAATTATGTTTCAATGAGTTTGTCAGCACAATGCCCGTCATCATGGATTTTACCAACGTGATAAGCGATTCGCTGTGCAGAGTTGCGTCCCTTGGGCACGCCAGAAACCTATGATTGTGGGTTCGAATCCCGGTTCGCCCGGATTATGTTTCTAGGTTTATCAGCACCATACCCGTGGTCGTGGGTTTCACCGAAGTGGTAAACGTCTGAGACCTGCATCACTTCGGGCTTTCCTCCCACATTAAGCTGACACACCGCGATATAACTGGGATATTGTTAAAAGCGGCGTTAAACCCAACTCACTCACTCACTCACTAACTCAAGCTGACACGACATTATATAACTGACAATCTGTTCAAAGCAGGAATGATCCAAAGGCTATCGCTCACTGCTGTACTTACAAAATACTAAGTGCCTATTCACTTTCAAAGGTTGCATTCCTTAGCCGTGCCAGGATCGGATCCTCTTGGATTCAAATCCCTCTATCTCCTGGTCGATTTTGCTTGTAGTTTCTTTGCCCCAAAGCTAAGCGTCACTTTGGACTTTCCTCCTGAATTAAACTTATTCTCTGTAAGTGAAATACTGCCAAAAACGTAGTTAAACGCAACCACTTACTGTGCAACATAGAAAATATATTCTTAATCAAACACGGTATAGTCATATGGCACTGCACGGATTAGCCACATAGATGAACATAAGAATTGTGGTTTTCAGCTAAAGGACAACAGGAACCAGATAGTGTGGTTGTTGCAAAAAGTGAAGCGAAACAAGAGTAGAAATACAACATTCACAGAAAGCCTGGAGTTACAAGAAACCTATGAAAACCATGTGATTCGATGCCAGAAAGTGTTTGCCTGCACCAGTCTTGGAGTAGAAGCCCTTGGAACTACGGAGGTATATGGTAGCACACCCATCATGCTTATAATTTAGATGATACAAATACAAGGTCTTTTTATGATTTGTGTTGAACATTATGAAAAAGAAATATTTCTGAAAATAATTCCCACACGCAATAACAGCAAATATGAAAGCTAATGAAAAATCATGAGTTCATCGTCCATAGAAATTTAATATGCATTGATATTTTTAAACAAATCCAGATAAATTTAAATTTAATTTAAATATTGCATATTTTGTGATAGTGAAGTTATTTATGTTTGGCAATAGTTAAGGAAGTATTCAACTGGTTGAAAAACATCTCACTAAAAGAGGGTTAACATTTACACAATAAACATAAATTAACACAAATATGTTAATAGAGGTTCGTTTGTTGCAACAAAGACAACAATAAAAGCTAGTAGCTGATGGTAATAAATGTATTTAATTAACTGCATATCTGGAGTAAGACAAGTTCTATGGATGAACAACTTCTTTATTACAATTAGTGCGACGTTTCGGTGTAGATCCTAACACCTTTATCAAGCACTAATTGTAATAAAGAAGTTGTTCATCCATAGAACTTGTCTTACTTCATCACACCGACTTCTAAATGCCACTTAAAGAAATGCATATCTGGACATACGTACGTACAATTCTTGTGGAGGCTTTAAAATGTTTTGCGAATGCTTGTGTTACATATTATATTGACATATTTAGGTGAGTGTGGATATGCTTGACCTGAATCCACACCACACCGTGTTAGACGTTGGATGTGGTCTGGGTAGCAGATCCCTCGACATGGTAAAGGTAGGTTTGCTGTGTGTGAATCTCTCTATTTGATTTCCGATTTACAATGAATTTCTTTAGATATCTGAAAATCTATATTTTAAAATATGTTAAGGTTAGAAATATGTCTTCACGAAGCCAACACTTCTTTAAACTGAAGCAACACATATTTGCAGGTGAAATCGAAATTGAAAACAATTTAATTTAAATAAATTAACATGCCAGTAGACAAGACGTAATCTTTTACGCCGCTTTTAACAGTATTCCAGTTATATCACGGCGCGTCAGCTTAATGTGGGAGGAAAGCCCGAAGTGATGCAGGTCTGAGACGTTTACCACTTCGGTGAAACCCACGAGCACGGGTATGGTGCTGACAAACCTAGAAACATAATCGGGGCGAACCGGGATTCGAACCCACAATCATAGGTTTCTGGCGTGCCCAAGGGACGCAACTCTGCACAGCAAATCGCGGCGCCTTAGACGACTGGGCCACCCCTGCCCCCGCCACCGGTGGAGCAGGATCCGCTTATCTTTCGCGAACACCGAATGTCATCACTATTTAACACATGCTCATGATATAGTCGGAAACGTACACTGGTCTCTGCTTTCAGCAAATATTTCTTTTGATTATGGAAATGTTTTTGTCGCTTTTGTTTATTTTATTTACTGTCAAATGTGGATCTTTTAACAGAAATACGGATGCAAAGTTGTTGGAGTTGACATGTCAATCATCAACAGACGCCATGCAGAGGAAAACGCTAAGGAAAATGCCATGGGTCCTGATCAAGTGAAATTCGAGTTTGCTGATTTAACCAAGAGAAACTACTCGACCGAGTCATTTGATGCAATCTACAGCCGGGATTCCATATGCGCAATTGCCGACAAGCTGACCCTGTTTGGGAACGTCTATGTCAGTGGAACACTTAAAGTTTAATTTCCATCCCAATCTAATATACATTATAATCAGCCATTCCGACATTAAATATACTACTCAAAACAAGTTAAATAACACCACTTTAGAATGTTGTGTGTTGCAATATCCACCAGCCGTGACAGATTAGCTGTAGTCATATGAAAAAATGTGTTCTTTAACTTCCTTTGAGTAGTATATAGCTAAAATATGAAAGATAGTATTCTTAAAATAATTTCTTAATAAAGTCTTGAAAATTAATTAATCGATCATCATGCCTATCCATCTCCTTCACACACCCCTTTTGTTTTAATTGTCTGCTCATTTGGTGCAAGAATTGATGATATTACAATGTCAGTCAGTCAGTCAGTGAGTTGGGTTTAACACCGCTTTTAACAGTATTCACGTTACATCGCGGCGTGTCATCTTAATGTGGGAGAAAAGCCCGAAGTGATGCAGGTCTCAGACGTTTTACCACTTCGGTGAAACCCACGAGCACGGGTATGGTGCGGACAATAAACATAATCGGGGCGAACCGGGATTCGAACACACAATCATAGGTGTCTGACGTGCCCAAGGGACGCAACTCTGCACAGCGAATCGCGGCGCCTCAAACGACTGGGCCACCCGTGCCCCCGTCAATCATGTAATTATTATTATTATTATCAATATATACAAAACTTTCATAGTTTTGGCATGCATATTGCTTAGGGCTTAAACGTTGGTCATTAAAAGAAAAGTACTTGTGGAAACTTGACAAAGTCGTCATATTTTAGAAATGGCTGAAACCAGGCGGAAAGGTCTTGATCTCAGACTATTGCTGCAGCGCCGAGGATCACTCCGAGGTCTTCAAGGAGTATGTGAAGCTGAGAGGCTACACTCTGTACAGCCCCGCACAGTATGCGAAGGTACGTTGTAGGCTAAGTTATGAAGCGCTTCTAAAACCTTTAATCTTAAATACAGAGTTTTCTTTCGCCATACAGTAAAAATAAAAATAAAAATATTTCTCTAAATGTATCTGTCCCTCCTAGCGGATTTGAAAATATATATTTCACCAGATATCAGTATAAGTATATCTAGTCAGCCGAAATTGGGTGACTAGAGGCCACAATACCTACTTCGGTACCCTTCTACAAGTATACCAGGCCTCGATCTTAATGCTACATGTGTCTTTATATAATTCATTATGGTAGTTCAAGTTCAGGCCTCGTGACACAAGTCCAGTTAAAACTGAAGAGTCAAGTAAAAACACTGAGACGAATCATTGGAACATTAGTGAGGTTTTTCTTCGTCATCTCCTGCCCTTCAAGTAGCGCCTAGCATACGTGAAGGTCGTCGTTACAACGTAGTTAGGCTCAGATGTTGTCCAGGATAAATTAAGGATCCCCACTACTGTATATTGAAGTAACCGCCCCCGTGGTCTAGTGGTAGAGCGTCCGCCCGGAGAGCGGAAGGTCCGGGGTTCGATCCCCGGCCGGGTCATACCAAAAAACGTTAAAAGATGGTACTTGTTGTTACCCTGTATGGCGCCAGGCATTAAGGGGCTAAAACAGGGACTGGTCGGCTCGGAGTCAGTATACTGTGTCTGAGTTGGGTATTCATATTAAACTGCGTCATGGTATCTCAGTGAGCTAGCACTATAAATCAGCATCAGTCCGGACTAGTACAAACACACACACGTACATGCACGTCGCTATATAAGTGCAATAATCTTGGACGCGACGCTAAACCCCATTTCATCTCACCTCACCAGTATATTGAAGCATGCGAATAAACATCGTAGGGTTGCAATGGCCGATTTTGGTAACCAGATCCATGGTTGCTACTGTATGGGTGTTATCCTCTATGAATAAAAATTTCATGCATTTGTGCATCTTTTTTTAGAGTCTTGAAAAAGCAGGATTCGAAGACGTCAGAGTTGAGGACAAAACACAGACCTTCACAGAAACACTAACGACAGCGCTCAATCAAACCTATAAGCGCAGTGATGAGTTCATTGGGGTAAGCTATGCTTTATGCCATAGTTCTATATAGTATACAATGTTTAACATGCGTAAGGATGAACTTTTCAATGTCACGAAAAAAAAATTACTGTTACAAATTGGTGTCTTGAATATCTTGAATACACAGGCAATTTAGATGCATGTCCATTGCAGATTAACGGAAATGTTGTTAATCATTTAACGCCGCACTCAGCAATGATCTAACAATAAGACGACGGTTTCGTAACACAATACAGTGGTGAGCGATGTGACATTGTGTGAATGTTTGGTTTGGTTTGGTTTGGTTTGGTTTGGTTGTTGTTTTAGGTCGCTCTCAGCAATATTCCAGCTATATGACGGCGGTCTGTAAATAATCGAGTCTGGACCAGACAGTTAACAACATGCAATGGGGATCGATGACATGCATCAAACAAGTCAGCGAGCCTGACCACCCGATCCCGTCAGTCGCCTTTTACGACAAGCATAGTCACCTTTTGCTGAAGACCTATTCTAGCCCGGATCATCACGGGATTGTGTGAATGTAGTATTACTACTTTTGCATACTCTGTGGTTCTGATAATCTGTATTCTGTATTCTTGACATCCATATGATGAATAGAAGATGTGGTTCAGACGCGGGTGTAGGGGATTTCACTTTTATAGGAAATCAAGGTGCCAGCTTGGTTGATTATATAATATGTTCATCTGAATTGTTTACTATATGTAGTAGATTTGAGTCATCACATCTTCCCCTCACAATGGATTTACGTACGTGTCACACAACTGAACAGATTGAAAGTGATCCAATTATTAATGAATCTTTCACATTTACATGGGCCGATAATTTGACATCAGATGAAATATCTTATTTATTTGAAAAGGGCAGTAAATACAGCATTTGTTAGCCTCGATGCTAGTGTAAAATATATCACTGAAGCCTCATGTATGGCTGCATCAGATATGAAGAGAAACGTTTGCTTTTACAAACCGCATCGTCATTGGTAGTTGCTTTGAGTTATTAAATAAAGAAAGATGTAGATGATTAAATATATTGCGAAGGAAAAGAGATTTTGTTTCATTGGAAAATTATCACAGCATCCGGAATCAGTATAAGGAAACATGTAAAAAAAAAAAAAAAGTTGAATATTATGAATATGACTTTTTGTCTGGATTTGAAGATGACAATACAACATATGATGATATCGAATTATCACGAGACATCCTCGAGACGTCCGATTACGGCTGACGAAATAGGAGAAAGCGTTTGTCATCTTAAAAATGGTACATCAGCTGGGTATGAGTTTTTTAAACATTCTACAGATATCCTTGTACCATATCTAGAGTTGATTTTTAATATCATGCTGGAAACATAATATTTTCCTGAAGACTGGGCACTTGGTATAATCGTCCCTCTCCTGAAACAGAATGATACAAATAACTGTCGAGGCATAGTGTTATCAAGCATTTTTAGCAAAGTGTTCATATATATCAATAACTAAAGGTTAGTATTCTGGGCTGATGCTTATGAAAAGATTAGTGAGTCTCAATCTGGTTTCAGCCAAGGATACTCGACAACTGATGATATATTTATGTCGCAAACAATAATACAAAAGTACCTAGCAAAGAAGGGTGGTAAGTTATACACAGTGTTGGTAGATTTCTCTAAAGCTTTTGATTCTGTTGGCAGATTTAAATTATGGTCACGTTTCAAGGCACATGGTCTTAGCAGTAAAATTGGAAGGTTAATGTGCTGTATGTATCAGAATGTAAAGGTTTGTGTGCAAAATAATGGTACTGTGTCTGACACATTTGAAAGCAAAATTGGCGTTAGACAAGGGTGCATTTTAAGTCCGTTTTTGTTCTCCTTCTTTATCAATGAATTAGCTCAACAAATTCAGCAGAACTGTTTTCTGATGGCATCCAACTTCACCCAGAAACTATAAAGTTATTTCTTCTTTTGTTTGCCGTTGGCATAGTAATGTTTTCAAGCACACTAACTGTACTACTACAGCAAATTAATCAGCTGAAAAGTTATTGCAAAGAATGGAATTTATCTGTCAACAAGAATAAGACAAAAGCTATGTTGTTTTTTTAAAATGGCGGTACACTAGCTTGAAGGGAGAAATGGTTTTATCAAGGACATTCGTATCGTTCTGTAAGTACTTAGGTGTATATTTTACAAATCAAATAGATTGTCATGGAAGACGCATGCTTACCAAGCTAAGAAGATCATAATTGGAATACTTCAACATATGACAGTTGTTGGAAATATATCCTATAATACATTCTTTAAGATGTTCGATACACAAATACAGTAAACTACGGTTATAACGAACTCAAAGGGACTACTAATTTTAGTTCGTTATAACCGTAATTCGTTATAAGCATAAATACAACATAAATACAGCATACAGTCGGGACTAAAAAGTTAGTTCGTTACATCCGTTAGTTCGTTATAAGCGTGTTCGTTATAACCGTAGTTTACTGTAAGCTTAATATAGTTGTATCGAGCAGAGGTTTGGGGATTAGAAATGATTGATGTTATAGAAAGAGTACATTTATATGCATGCAAAGATTCCTTGGTGTGAAACCTGGTACGTCTAATCTAATGGTCTATGGAGAATGTGAACGATACCCATTAACTATGCTTGCAAAGTTAAAGACGATAAAATACCGGATTAAAGTAGTTAAATGCCTGCATCAAGATACCCAAAGAAATGTTATAACATGTTATTACTCTATGATCAACAAGGACACACTAACTGGGCATCTACTGTAAAGCAACAACTTTATTCATGTGGGTATGGTAATATATGGACAGAACAGGATACGTATATACCAGATCATTTCATAGGTGCTTTCACTCAGACCCTGAAAGATATGTACATTCAAAATTGCCATTTTTCCTTATCAGTGTTAAAGAAACTATCAAGTTATTCAATCTTTAAAAACAGCTTCTCCGGAGAGCAATACTTATTAGATCTGGCACTAAAAACATTTCGAATTGCACTTGCGAGATTCAGATGTGGTTCACACTAACTCTTTATCGAGACGGGAAGATATATGGGGACTGTGATAGATCACAGAATTAGTCAGTTTTGTTATTTAAACACTGTAGAAAGTGAATACAATTTCTTACTACTTTGTCCGTTGTATGCGGAACTCAGAAAACAGTTTATTGATAAAAAAATATTTTATCCGTTATCCAAGTTTACAGAAATTTGTTGCATTAATGTAAAGTAAGAATGTAACAATAACAAACTGTCAATGTACATATTGCATGCTATGAAGCTAAGAAGCTCCAAATGTGCTACCGTATAAATGTATATACATCCATTACTATATAACATGTTATAGGCCGAAGGCCTCTCAGTATTATGAGACCCGTGAAGATTCCGGGGTAGAATAGGTCTTCAGCAACCCATGCTTGTTGTAAAAGGTTACTATGCTTGTCGTAAAAGGCGACTAACGGGATCGGGTGGTCAGGCTCGCTGACTTGGTTGATGCATGTCATCGATCCCAATTGCGTGGATCGATGCTAATGATATTAATCACTGGATTGTCTGGTCCAGACTCGATTATTTACAGACCGTCGTCATATAGCTGGAATATTGCTGAGTGCGGCATTAAACAACAAACCAACCAACCAACCAACAGTATTATGAATAAACACATATACGATAATCTCCTCCTTTCGCGGTATTTTTGTGCAGGACTTCTCCCAGAAAGACTTTGATGACATTGTCAGCGGCTGGAAGGACACTCTGCACCAGTGTGAGGAAGGGGAACAAAGATGGGGTATCTTCCATGCCACAAAACCAAGAACTCCTTTAACATGACAACACACTATGTAGGTCTTACTTTACTGTCTTCAACTTTCTAGATTCAAACATGCTACAATGTAAAAAGTATAGTATTTGATTTTGCAAGAAAGTTGTAGACGGTTGGGCAGTTCGATTTTTTAGTACCAATTTACACCGTAAAAATATCATGGTATTTTAGGGCCGCTTTTGGAACTGTAACGGTTTCATGTGGGTTGGTCAGGTGGCATTACCATTAAATCAGTTAAGGTTGTTGAATGGAGATAGTCATTGAGAGCAGGAGCGTTAGGAATAGTTTAGGCCTTATTATTAAATGATTTTGAAAGTGATGAAGAGGTATATTTCTATAATGTAGGATTTTGGACTAAATGGTTTAGTTATCTACATTTGCGTTCAATTCTGACGGGTCGTTTTTCAATAAATACATTTATTCGAAAACTACTGAGTGTTTGTTATCAGTCGCCACGTTACATTCACTAGCACAGATATCATTGCTGTTGTCAATGTCAGCTGGCAGCTTAAGAAATGGAATACAACACATAGTCTAATCTAAACATGGTATCTGGTATCAGGAATTCACATATGTCCTTGAAACTCGAAACTCGAAACTAGAGCTTGCCGTTAAAGGCGACTATAGCTCGTTGTAAGAGGCGACTAACGGGATCGGGTGGTCAGGCTCCCTGACTTAGTTGATGCATGTCACCAATCCCAATTGCGTGGCTCGATGCTCATGATATTAATCACTGGATTGTCTGGTCCAGACTCGATTATTTACAACCGCCGTCATATAGCTGGAATATTGCTGAGTGCGGCGTTAAACAACAAACTAAACCAAAGCTAGAAACTAGAATTCTTTCTCAAGGACGAACATGGTATTGATTTGAGTATTATGCTCCGTGAGTTCAATCACAACACGAAAGAAAACAATATTGATTTGTCATTTCTTCTTCATTTATATAGCGACACCCTGTGTGTGTGGCTGCTTGTACTATCCCGGACTTTTGCTGGTTTTGAGCAGTGCTAGCCCACTGAGATACCACAATGCAATTTAACATAGATACCCCACTCAGACATATTGTCTTTTCCCCCGAAAGCCGAGCCACAACACTAGGGACACGGGGACCGAACTACTGACCTTCCGCTCCCAAGACAGACGCTCTATCCACTAGCCCACGGAGGTAACACTTTTGACGTAATTTGGCGTATCATGCCCCACCGGTGTCACAGGTCACAAGCAAAAGCAAGTCAATTGTTCACCTGACAAAAATAGCGACAAAAGGTACATATCAAAATAAGAAATTGCATCGGACAATATTTTTGACATTGATACGTCAAATTTGGAATGCCCTCCACAAGAGTTTTAAAAGCTTTACTGAGGCCTTGAATGTTGTAACCTAGCCTTAAATGTCGTATGACACTCAGTGATATATTACTCAACTAGGCGGCAAAAGAAAGTATAGGTCGAGTTCCATGATTGATAAAAAAATAACAAGAATAGGTTTTGTTGTGAATTATAATATAATCTAGGGAGGGGTAACAAATGATTGATCAACCACAGTTTGAATGTAATTGTGCTATCACAGGTAATGTAAGCTCAAGGTAAACAATGGTGGGGTAAGAAATTTCATTTTCAAAAGTTGTCTGAAATGTCACCCAAAAAATTGTCAGACACACCACAAGTTCATTGTCGACACAGTTGCCTTCAATAGCGTGTATAACCTCCAGCTGCCTCAATGCATGCTGTGATACGCCGCCTCATCGATGACGTCAGTCTTCTGATGACGTGGTCTGGAATCCGTTGCCACTCGTCTCTCAGGGCCTGCTACAATTCTTGTCTGTTGACGGGAGGCTGATGGTGTGCTCTATTCTGTCTGTCAAGATGGTCCCACAGATGTTCAATAGGATTCATATCGGGTGAGTGGGCAGGCCAGGGCAAAACGTCAACGTTCTGCTGGTTTAGAAAGTTCCGAGTCAGTCTTGCAGTATGGGGCCTGGCATTGTCGTGTTGAATGGTATGTCCCCTGCTGTTGTTTTTGTAAGAACGGAATCACAACTGGCTGCAACACTTGGTCTCTGTACTGCACAGCGTTCAGGTTTCCCTGTTATCACCAGATCAGTCTTCTGATCTCCACAAATACCGCCCCACACCATGACACCTCCCCTGCCGAATGGATGGACCTCTCGAATACACGCCGGAGCCAAACGTTCCCCTCTGCGTCGATAAACTCGTTCTCTGCCGTCATTTCGAAACAAGTTAAACCGACTTTCATCCGTAAATAGCACTCGACGCCAATTTCTCACTTGCCAGCGTCGAACCTGCCTCGCCTATCGCAGTCTCTGGCGTCGAAGTTGAGCAGTCAGTACCATTCCTCGGAAAGGACGATACGCTCGGATTCCAGCAGCACGAAGTCGTCGTAGTACTGTACGTTGGCTAATGGGATGTCCAAACGCTGTTGCTGCCGTCGCCGCGGCCGTTACGAATCTGTTTCGCAGGTGAATGAGCCGTATCTGACCGTCGACCAGTGGTGTTGTCACTCGGGGTCGTCCGGTTCTAGGCCTGTCCTGTGTCGTCCCTGTCTGCCTGTACCGTTGAATCAGCCTGGCTACTGTCAATAGTGTACAACCAAACCTTCTTGCAATTTGGACCTGTGTTGCCCCCATTTCGGCCATACCGATGGCTCTCTCTCTCTCTGCTCCTGTGACAGTCGTAGCATTTCTTTTGTGTGCTTTCGTCACGTGTGGTTATACCCTGCAGACGAACGCATTTATACAGCTAACATGCACGTGCAGTTTATGCCATAGGCGGGAAACCTGTTTCACCTTTTTTTTGTCACCGCACGAGCGCCGTCAAAGGTGGCGCGTTCGGGTGAGGTGTTTTGTGGTACCTGTTCTTGGGCAGTTATATTCCCAATACCCACTTTCCAATAGTTATCGCTGTTTTTAGGAAAATTACAAATTGCCAACCTATACTTTCTTTTGCCGCTTAGTTAAGAAGGAGTATGCTCGATTGTACCTCAATAGTTGTGAAATGTGGACACCAAAAGGCACGAAGAAATTCAAACTAGGCCAAGCACATGTACCCTGAAAACAGCTAACGTCATGTTTACTCGTATTAGTCCTGTGTTGGTTAATCAGTGATGATAACATGCGCGCATCCGGTTAAAACATTCGGAGGCACAAAATGCAACAGCTCAAATCTTGACTTGAATATGGCGTCAATTTCTACCTCTCTTGCGATACACACGGATATGCCCATCAAACGAGAACAAGCTGAAGTTTCACTTGTCTGATAAGAGCACCCGTCGAAATTTATTTATATATTCTGACAATGTCGTAAGTTCTTGCCTATTTCAGTTTGTTCATGTTCACAAAAACATGACACTCAAGTAACATTTGTATTGCACATGGGCAGATGTTTCTAACACGGATACTACATGACAATAATTGCAATATGTTGAACACGTTCTTGAAAATGTAAACTGGCGGGACAAAGAAATCCATGTGCTTTAAGGGAGAACGAGTGGCCCAGTCGCCATTAGACCTAACTCACTGAATCACTCTCAGTTGAAATATCCTAGGCGTTTTGCAGATACTATAAACTCCATGTACAGAAACACAATCTCTATGATGATGAGTGTTAACTAGTAGTATCTGTAATATCTATTCATTTTAGAAAGTTGCATGTTATAAGGTATTATATGTTTTTACATATACATTGTACTTTAACAGCAATCACTTCAATTACTGACGCCTCAGTTATTCATGAGGTGGAAAGTGATTTACTTCCCGTTCAAGATTATTGCACCTTTATAGCGACGTGCATCCGCAGTTTAACATGGATACCCCATTCGGAGACAGTATACACAGGACACAGTATATGGTACACTGACTCCGAGACTTGCAGAATCGATTCCACTGGCAGGCCAGACAGTATACAATTGATAAATATCATTGCAAAATTATTTTTAACCACTGTTTGGGGAACATGCAAACAAAAATTAGCCCGTTTTAGATACACTATATCTTTGCCATATCGTGACGTGACACATTTTTCAAAATACATCTTTAGATTATATATAATGGTGTCTTCGAATATAATAACTAGAATATCACAGATTGACGTAAAACTAGTTTGAGAGCATGTAAAAATATACCAGCATTCAACAATATAGATCCCAGGCACCCGAAGACAGATCACCACACTGGGGACCATGGGGACTCATAGTACTTTTTCTACCTGCATGGACCCAAGCAGGATTTACATCATCCCTTCGGATGTTGTCGATGATTGACAAATGTAGCCAAGCATTAAAACAACATTCTACGATTGAAAACGTGGCAGAAATAAGTATACTTTGAATGACGCGGTCTAACACAACCTCTCTTGGGGACAATTATTTGACACTGCTTCAACCCCCTTAAAGGGTACAGCAACTAACAATCTCAGTTATCAAATATATTCCAACAATTATATAACAAGTCCTTTATTTTGTACAAATCATGTTAATACAAACTTATACAGCAATTCTATTTCCTTTAAAAACCAATAATTAAACGAGATCCTTAATTGATAAGGTGCTTAATTGGGGATGATTTGAAATATGTATCCCTTGTGATGGACAAATCAACACAGTCAAGCAGGACTTGCCTGATTGTGATTCATTCATCACAAGGGACAGAATGGAGGATATTGACCTTTCAATAAATACTCACGAGTGTAGTGTGAATGGCCAATTTGACATCGTCGGATTATCACCTCTTCAAATCTGGACTGACAACCCAAGTAGGTGTAACCGATAGTTGGTTTAATTTTCATGTATTTTTTATACCTACTTGAGTGTCCCACTTTTTTGCATTAGATCACGGATGTTTAATCTAATCACGGGTGTCACAGATTTGTTGAGTGCTGCTTTTGCCAATGATACCAACATGCCCGGGCAACCATCAAAAAACGATGTCGCATTAGCCAGTAGCAAGAACATTTAATAATTCAGTCATTTCAATTAAGAGTGGATGTTTATCAGACTGATTTTTAATTGCCTGAAGACAAGAAAAAGAGTCTGAAAATATAATAAATTGCTTATGTTTGCATTGTTTACTTATGTACTCAAATGCTGTTAATATGACCTTTGATTCGGGCGTAAAAATGGAACAGTTATCTGGCAGTCTTAAAGATAAGGTCCTGGATCTAATGCTTGTGGCGCTGGCAACAGCGTCATCATCCTTAGATCCGTCTGTAAAAATAGTTTTATAAGTATTACATTTGTTTCTTAATTGATTATATTCTTGTTCAATAAGTTGTTTCAAATTTCTATAATTTAGTTAATGATAGATCCACTTCTGGCGTTACTAACTGCTATGGTGGAGAAGACAAAAGTTCTGTGGGGGCTATATTTTCT